GAGATTCCAGCTAGAAGCAGAAAGGATCGTTGAAGCAGCACCTGCTCCTTTTCAGTCTGCTGGCTTGGCCACATAGCCACAGGAGTGACAGATACGATGAGTGTCCTGAATTTAAGATGTAGTTTGTATATCTACATCTTGAAGATTTCCATTCATAGAAAGCTCTCATAAGCAGAAAACTCATTTTACATACCACTGAGTTGAGGATTCACTTACTGATACCTTGTGAAACTGATATTAGGAGGGCAGCACAATTTCCATGTGCTCATCAATGGAGATTTCTTTTCTAAAGCAACAACAAGAACTTCAGTAACAAAGCTGATCAAACTTTAAATAATCCTTTGTGGAAAATCTGGCAGAACCATAGTGATGTAATGAATGAGTTACACTTATAAATGACTGAAAGTTTTCATAAAAAGAAGAGTTAGTGATTAATGTACTGATACAGTGATAACAAATCCTTCAACAGATCATTTGACTCCAGTTAACGGTGCTATTTTCTTTAATTAGTCCTCTGAAGGATTATGCATCATATTTTTTCTTCATAAACAAGCCTTCAAATTGCCACGTTGTCAGTATTTTCAAAAGTCATCCACTGAAGCATTAAATCCTTGGAATTATGCCATAAAAAAATCAATTACATTTTAATTCTATAACTTTTTGGCTTTTACAGTACTTATTTCAGTGTTAAAAACCTCTAAGTTGTCATTTTTGTGGGTTCTTTCTTTCCAGCTTTCTTTGCAAATTGTTTTCTTAAGCTTGAGTTTTACTGGTAAAGGTAAGTGTGCTGTTTGATGGCACTTCCTATCTCTTTGTAGTGTAACACCTTATGAATGAGGCATCCAATCAGCAAAAAATACATAGAAAATCATCAATGAAGAGAACATTCATGATTCATTTTTATTTCTTTAGCAAAAGCAAAAGGAGGAGGTGAAGAAAATACATTACTTATGATGTCTGATCAGTGAGGCAGTTGTTTTAATCAAGAATCTTTTCTATAGGAGAAAAATCAGTTGAGGGTTATTGAGAATTTCCTCGAAAGACTCCCAATGCCCCACCTAGGGAAGAGGAATGGCAAAGAGCCATACCATCCCATCATACAACATGGTGGTGTGGTACAGGAATTCATGTGATGGGGCTGACCAGAGTTGTGTGCTGGTATGTTGGCTGAATAAAGGCATTCAGAGAGTCTCTAGAATGTTCACTAAGCACAGCTTACAGGAGCAATGGTCTGTGTGATTTTGTGACATTATACATAAGAAAAAAGAATAGAAATCACAGTAGTAATGATTCCCCCCCCCCCTTTTTTTTTTCTCTCTTGAATTCATGTCAGTCAAAAAATGTGGAGGATAGTAATGCGTAGCCACCTTCCCAACAAGGTGCACTGTGCAGCATAATTCTTCTGTACTCCTTTCATTCTTTCAGTTACACAGAGCATCTCTGGAAACTGCTCAGTGGTTATCTCCTTGCAAAAAAAAAGGGAGACATAAGTCAGTACAAGCCTCTACCTTCCTTAGGAGTTAACAGCAGACTACTATTTCTGTAGTTCAAAGGAAATAGTTCTGATTCACAGTGCCGCCTTTGGGGAATGTTTTGTTAAAGATTTAGCCCCCATCTGAAGGGGAAGAAGAATTTTCATGATTGGAAAAATATATGTATATATATATATTTCACCTTCTTTTAAGATGATCTCAAACTTTCTGTTACAAAAAGGTCAGTCATAGATTCACAGAATGGTTTGGGTTGGAAGTGACCTTAAAGATCATCTATTTCAAACCCTTCCACTAGACCAGGTTGCTCCAAGCCCCGTCCAACCTGGCCTTGAACACTTCCAGGGAGGGGGCAGCCACAGCTTCTCTGGGCAACTTGTTCCAGTGTCTCACCACCCTCACAGTAAATAATTTATTCCTAATACCTAATCCTTAAATCTACCCTCTTTCAGTTTAAAACCATTACCCCTTGTCCTATCACTACACACCCTGTTAAAGAGTCCCTCCCTATCTTTCCTGTAGTCACACTTTAAGTACTGGAAGGCCACTATAAGGAAGCTTTGTACTCAGGTTGTACTCATTGTTCTGTACTAGTGACCTAGAATTCAGCCATGGCAGGGGATGTATAAGTAGATAGATATGATTTTTTAAATGGCTTTCTTACCTAGGAAGTGAAAATTCCCATTTTTGGTTATATGTCTCACTAATGACTAAAAAAATAATAATTTTACATTCTAAATTTTCCTTTAAATTTAAAAATATGTTAAAGGCAGTGGTGACTTTTGGGATCGAGTCTACCGTCTGCGAGTTTTCAGGTGACACCAATTGGAGTCGTGCAGTTGGTACACTAGATGGAAGGTATGCCATCTAGAGGGACCTTGACAGGCTTGAGGAGAAGGCCCATGTAAACCTCATGAAGGTCAACAAGGCCAGGTGCAAGGTCCTGCACCTGCACTGGGGCAACACCCAGTATCAAGACAGACTAGGGGATGAATGGATTGAGAGCAGCCCTATAGAGAAGAACTTGGGGATCCTGGTATATCAAAAATAGGACATGAGCCAGCAATGTACGTTTGCAGCCCAGAAAGCCAATTGTATCCCGGGCTGCATCAAGAGAAGTAGAGCCAGCGGAGTGAGGGAAGTGATCTTCCCCCTCTGCTCTGTTGTTGTGAGACCCCATCTGGAGTACTGTGTCCAGGTCTGAGATCCCCAGTACAATAAAGATACAGACCTGTTAGAATGGAGCCAGAGGAGGACCATGGAAATGATCAGAGGGGTGGAACACCTCTGGTGTGAAGAAAGGCTGAGAGACTTGACGTTGTTCAGCCTGGAGAAGTGAATGCTCTGGGGAGACCTCATTGCAGCTTTTCAGTATTTACAAGAAAGATGGAAAGAGACTTTTTGCTGGGGCATGTAGTGACAGGACAAGGGGAATTGCTTTTAAACTCAGTTAGGATAGGTTTAGATTGGATACAAAAAAGAAATTTTTTACAGTGAGGGCAATGAGACCTTGGAATATGTTGCCCAGAGAAGGTGTGGATACCCCAGTGCTGGAAATGTTCAAGGTCAAGTTGGATGGGGCTTTGAGCTAACTGATCTAGTTGGAGATGTTCATGATTATTGAAGGGGGGTTGGACTAGATGATCTTCGAAGGTCTCTTCTGACCCAAACCATTCTGTGATTCCATGGTCTATTTACAAACAGATGGGTTTCGTCTGTCTTTGAATCACAGCCTTATTTAGGTTTGAAGTGTGTTCTTGAGATTCTCTAGTCCAACTCCCTTTCTCAGACAGGGTCATCTACTGTGGGTTTCCCAGTACCATCCAGCTGGGTTTTGAATGTCTCCACAGATAAGGACTCCAAAATCTTTCTGGGGAAACTGCTCTGGTGTTTGACCACACTAAAAATGTGTTTCCTCAAGTTCAGAAAAAATTTCCTGTTTTCTGATTTGTGCCCATTGCCTCTTGTCCTGTCACTGAGCATTACTGAGAAGAGTCTGGCTCCTTTTTCTTCATTCTCTGCCATCCGGTATTTATACACATTGGAAAAATCCAGTTTTGCACCAGGAGGTGCTATTATGGTCCCAGTAAGAAAGGCATTCAGAGTCTGTAAGGTATCATTTAAAATACTGTCCATTAGAGCTAACACTGTAAAGAGAGAATAGTATAGACAATCTTGCATCCATTTAGACAGTGGGAGCCCCAGGTGGTGTGGCATTGAATGGACCACTGATCCACATGGAGCATGCTGAGCAGTCTCTGCATATGTCAGAGATTCTCACATTTTGGTCATTCGATCTGTAGCGGGACTTTTTTACAAGGAGACAGCTCTGTTCATTATTTCTACTGGCAAACAGAAAGGATGTCCACATGAGAACTTCTTGGAGCACTTGTAGATAAAGGCAAGGCCACTCAGGTGGTGTAATCTCTGGTACCCTGTTGGAAGTGCCTGTGGGCTCTGTTGCAGTGTGCTGGCTGAGTTCATCCTGCGGCCGACGATGTTGTGCAGCACAGCACAGGCTTGGCCTTACTCCAGTTAGCTGTTGTGTGGGTCACTAACACTCTGGTCTTCTGATCAGGGTCCTCTACAGTCCTGAAAACCTGGTAATCTGATAGATTAGGTGTACTTCAAAACCAGCATTCTTGGCTTGGTTTTCTGTGAGCTTTAATGAGAAATTATTTAATGAGTTGGCATACGTTTGTTTAGATATTTGCATTTTTCATTAGTAATGAAGGATGCTTAGGACATTTCCACTATGATGAGGAGCAGTAATGGTGTTTGTGAGGTGGTAAGTAGATGAGGCGCTAAAAATGAAGTAAAATGGAAAAATAGTAAATATGAATTAGACTTAAAATATCCTATTCCAACATATTAACTAAGTATTTCTTAAATATATCTGTGTAGCAGGAAGTTTATAATTGTTTTTTGTATATTTTTAGGCTGTTGCAGAGTATTTGCAGTGTTGATTATCAACACTGAACAGATACTTTAACTGCCATTTGCTATCTTGTCTTCTCAAGTAGTTGTCTGTAATATTTCAAACTACCACAGAAGACCTAAGAGATGCAAATATGTGTCCTGTTAATAAGTAGAAGTTATTTTTTCATGTACACTGAGAAGAAAAATGTTGTGTTTTTTTTTTTTATTTTTGTATACTAAAATGTTTTCTTATCTGATTTTGACTCAAGTGATTGTTAAAAACTGGGTGTTAGATTTCATTTCCAGAGCTTGCATGAAAATTTGCATCGTGCTCTTTCTGTACAGACTGTCCTGCTGTAGGCTTAACTTTCTATAACTTTCTATATGGCATATGTCAATATTTTATTGTATACCAAGTTTGCTAAACTCTATTACATAAACACTTAGATTTAAAACTTCTGGCATGCTTTTGATTGAGCAGTCTGAACATATTGCTTCTTTAGCTCCATTTCTACTCAAATATATCTTACAGAAACTGTTTCTTACATATTTGCACAGACTGAAAATTCTTCTTTTCTTTTCCTCCCATAGGATAAGAAATGGGTTCTCAATCATGAAGATGTCACACTGGGAGAATTACTGGGTAAAGTAAGTAACCAAGTGAGCTAAATAACATTTAAATAAGTAAATATTAATCAGTAAGACTTTACAATTCCTGTTTGCCTTATCTTTTAAATTACCATGGTATGCAGTTTTTATATCAATAATTTTACTTTAATACACAAGACAGCATTGTGCTTTAAATAAATGTAAATCACATTTACTGATAAATTGTATAATGTGTGTGCTGAAAGTGTTTAACTAGAATATGTATTTTTCTCTTTTGGAAGGCTTTTAAGCTAACTAGATTTCTGCAAAGCATGATGCGGCTGTTTTACTTTGTGTATTCTTACAAAATATTTTACAAAATATAAACAAAAACATTAATGGATTTATGTTTATGTATTTATGTACAAACTTTATGAATGTATGTATAAAATTTGATATAATAAGATGATTAAATCATTTAAATCAATATTCATTAAAACAAATGTTTGTTGCTTTTGTATGATTTATTGAATGTTAGGTAGCTTCACAATTATTTATGTATTAAATTAAATCTTTTATAATATAGCTTATATCACAAATTCTGCTTAGGAGCTAAAAGTCTCTAAAATCAGGTAAGCCCCATACCTCACTTGCGTTTTTAGCACCTTTGCCTCTACAAAGACAGTTGCAAGTGCCACTCTGAACACAATGTTCCAAAAGATTTCCCAAAAACAGAAAAATAGGCTTAAATGAGGAGGAGACAAATGAAAGTAATAATTGCCTTCTTAACGTGATGCACACTAAAAGAATTGATAAAGTGTTCAAGAAATGGTGGAATTAAGATACTGTGAGAAAATTCCGTTACCCAGGATAAAATCTCTTCGGCAGTATAAGATCACAAAAAGCATTTTCTACTGGTGTCCGCACAAAATACAGATACTGTGATAGCTTCACATTCTTAAACAGAACAGTATCAATGGAGAAAAATAAAGATGTTTCAGGCATTTAAAAAGTTTTGTGTTGCTAAAAAATAAATATGAACTAGTCTTGATGAGTAAAGGCAGTTAAAGCAATCTGAAAATGGATTAATTTAGTAAACTGAATTTACATGTGCATTGCATGTTTTTGGCACAAAACATTTTTAGCATTCTGTAAAGACAACTCAGTGCTTAGAAGTGATTATAGAAGGATATGTTCTTTAAAAAGTACAGACTGGGATAAAAATTTTTTGGAACACAGTATAAATCTATTATGCATCCATTTTTAAAAAGATATAGTCAAACTAGAAAAGATAAGAATGACAGGGCCGTCAGCATCCGTATGACAAAATGTTAAAAGAACTAGAGTCACTCACCATGGAAGTGGGAAATATGAGGGTCTATAAATTCTTGAGTGGCCTGGAAAAGATGAGGAGGAAAATATTGAAAACTTCATGTATAAGAGGATGCAAACTTTAGAAAGACGAAGATTTTCCTTCACCTCAGGAGTGAATGGTCTGTTCATTTACTCAGTATGAATTCTATAATACCCCACAAAATGAAAGTTATATGAAAGGAACATGTTATATTAAAAATCATAAGTATAATAATAATTGAATATTTTTAATAAAGAAAAAAGGCATTTTCAATACTTAGGTAGTCCTTACAGTGGGTTCAGCTTTCACTGTTAAATACTTTTGACCAGAAGGCTAGAAAAAAAATCTGTTGGGAGTGACCCAGCTTCTTACCTTTGGGCATCTCCTGCCATTTTAGGTATAAGAGGTACTGTCCTGGCCTCTGGAAGTGCTATTTTAGAAGGGCAGATTGCTCTCGTATATCCTATGCCTTGAATACTGGAAACCTTTGTTTAGGCCTAAATTTATTCCCTTGTTACTAGCATCACATTACTGTTTTCCTTCTGTGAGTTTCTTTTTCCCTTTTTCTGTCTTCTTCCTTTGGCAATACCATATTCAAATGCATGGTGTAATGAAATCTTCATCACTTGGGAAAGAAAGGAAAAACTTCAATCAGAGTTTTGATGCTTTTTGAAGTCACATGCAGCCCCAGATACCAGGACACAGAAATGGAATTTATATGGAAATTTGTAAGATGTACATCTAAAATTCAGTTGTGTTTATTCTTTGGGATATACAAAACTTAACTAAAAGTATGAGATCTTCAGTTTTCATATCTTTTCTTCTCTTGGGTTTTTTTGTTGATACCAGTGTTTTGTAGTATATCCCACAATTTCCTTCTTCCTTCAATTTGTGTCCAAACTAATGTTCCTTTTCTTTTTATTTAAGTAAAGAACCTGATGGAGATTATTATATGGTCTTTATTATTTCTGTTTTTTTTCTATGAAAACTAAAAAAATAAATAACTTACCTTGCAGGTATGTTGTTGAAGACCTAAAAAATCTGATTATAAAAGGAGCTACTTTTCTAAAGTCTTGTCCAAATGTGAGGCCTTACATAATTGCCTTTATAGAGTGGTGCTGAGCTTAGATTTTAAAAAAACTGCATCACATATCTTTTTCAGGGCAGAAACGACAATATATTTTTTTTTCAGTGTGTTTAATTTAGGATCAAAGTTAATATTAAGTGTTTTAATTTTTCTTATTTTGCATCTTTTCTTTATATGTGAGAACATTTACATTATTTTGATGTGTTTTGTCCAAGTTTCATAGATCTTTTGGTGCCTTATGGACTGCAAGCTATTGATAAAATACAATAGTGTGAAAATGAAAGAGTTCTGGAGTAAAAATAAGGAAAAAATGTACTGCTATCGGTGACTGCTGACTTTAGAAGTTACTAAGAGGTTTTATGAGAAAATTCTAATTACACAATTAATGTATTTTTTTCTCTTTCCAGCAAGGTTAAATTAGAACTCATACACTGTGTTGATATAATAGATGTACTATGTCTATTGCACTGCACTGTGTTAAGGGCATGTACTGGAAGAACACCTCATTTGGCTTCATAAACATATTTCAAAAGTTCCATACCAGTTACATTAGTTGTCTGCATTATTTTTCTGGAGATTTGTGAAGATTTTGTTTACTTAGAATGATTATTTTTTTCCTGATTTCAGGGTAATTTTGGTGAGGTATATAAGGGAACATTAAAGGATAAAACTCCTGTTGCTGTAAAAACTTGTAAAGAAGATCTTCCTCAGGAATTGAAAATAAAATTTCTGTCAGAGGCCAGGTAGGTTCTCTATTTTTAATTGAAATGTATACTTGTTGTGGGGTTCTTTTTAAGTTTCATTAATAGATGAATTTACAAAATCAGACCCTCAGAAAAATTCAAAGAAACAGTAGTCAAATTTTTTCCTTCTTTTCTCTCCCTCACATGCCACTGCTGTTGCCCCAGTAACTAAACATAGGCATTTTTAACGTGTGAATGCAATAGCATCTGCACTTGCTGAAACTACCTCTTTGGCAAAGCAAGCTATGCTTATAAAACACAATTTTGTTGTTTTAAGTGCTTCCATTTAGAAATTCTTCTGAGATGTGCCATGAGGATTTGGATAAGAAAACTGGAAGATGCTGTTAATTTAGATGTGATTATACCAGTCAGAAATCTTACCTTACATGCATGATTAATAGAGCTGATCAAATGTGGCTAGGTTACCATATAGACCCCATCTAGTAATTCTCTCTTTGTAAGAAGAGTTCACTCCAGTAGAGATATTTTATGTTGTGTTAGGCAGCATATGGTTGCATACTTATTTTTCAAATTACAGTCATGCCACAATATGCTAAGTATTCTGAATATAGGCTGTTGTAGATAGGTAGGTTCTGAGACCCCAAGGTATGTAGGGGTGTATTGAAATAATTTCACAATTGCTAAACTAACTTGCTTCCTCTTGCTATGAAGCTTCATATGTTTTCATTTTTACTCCCAAACTAGTATGATCAATATGGAGAAGTAAAAGATATTATCTACATTTAGAGAATGAAGGTCAGCCACCATATCTATTGAATAATTTTAAACAGCTCGTAACTTGGCAACTGAAGAGATGTTTCATTTATTAAGCAGCCTGCCACTAATGGCGCAGTGTTAGTCTGAAGAAAAAGATGTGTTATTTCTCACTAAATATGTATGTGCCAGGTAAGTTAGTATTATACTCTTGATCCTTGGAAAAAAAAAGGAAAAAGAGAAGATGCTTAAAGTCAGCAAATAGTAGAAGAAACATTTAAGGTCTCTGTAGAATTCTTCCTTGCCCTTCATTTCACTTATAAATCATAGCATGCTGTTTTAGGCTGCACATGTTCTGATTAAAGTATTGTGTAAAAAGATGTAAACATTTTTATTTAATTCCCCAAATTAAAATTGCTGTCCTTATATTCTTCTAAAATGTATAGTATTAATTAATCTCTTAAAGTAAAATCAGAATGCGTGCTTTTGAAAAGTGCAGCAGGGAAGCATAGTGGCACGCTGTGCATGCTTTTTTGATGTAGCTCAGCTTTTGGTCTGCCACTGAAATGATGGTTAATTACAAGGGTTCTTGAGAAACTGCAAACCTGTCAGGACATTTTTCAGTTATATAGACAAATGTTACGTATTCAAATGATAAAATATATATAAGTGTAATATAGTGTTCAATCTTAATTTATTAGTGAATCACTATGCCCTCTGTTTCTAACAGAATCATGATTGATCTGTTATGTTCATTTATTTTCTTTGTAACAGTTCATTTATTTTCTTTATAACACTAAAGGTTTAAGATACTTTTCTATAATATTTAAACCATTTGTACAATAAAGTTTATTAATACAATAAACTTACTGTGTGTTTTGCAGAATACTCAAACAGTATGATCATCCTAATATTGTAAAACTTATAGGAGTTTGCACACAACGACAACCTATATATATTGTTATGGAACTTGTTCCAGGTAATTTTTTTTCTTTTTTTTTGTTTCAGCATATTTTTGTAAGTATCATTTCCATAATGTAAAATGTATTATTTTCTATTTATGTTTATCTACATTCTTACGACTGATCTCAAAATTCACCTGTTTTACGAGTCTTTGGAAATAACTAGGTTCTACTAGCTTTGAAGTGGAGTGAGGTCCACAAATCTGTTGTGAGATTTTCTGTAGCCATTCAAGACAACAGAATTTGCTGAAAGGTATCTCAGCTCTATCTTAATTCTCCTCCTGACAAGATATTAAATGGTACTTCCTTTAACAATAGAGTTATATAGTGTGTTTAAAGAAACTTAATGGCTGGGTAATGTTTCAGTTTTAATAACTCAGATTCGGGTCGTCTTTGGTAATATAGAAGTGGTTTTCATTATTAAAATATATTGTTCAGTTTATGGGTTACTCTTATTTTTGGGTTCTTCAGTTAATGTTATTCAGCAGTGGCTGAAGAAAATTTCAAATTGTTGGGATGATAAGAGATTCTGGGCAATCTTACTTCTTTGTTGGTTTTCTCAACAGCTGGAAAATATGTGGGTTTTGTAACCTCTTACTGCTTGATATGCAACACTGTATTTATTTTATATGTCATTGGATTTGTCTTCAAAATTATACATCAAACTGTTTTAAGAACCATTTCATTCATGAGGACTAAGATTGTTTATAATTCTTGACTACTGGCTTTAGTACAAGAGCACTTATGAAATCTTTGACCTGTTGGAACTTTCTAGCTTTATTCAATTAGATTATATTGGATTATTATATTTGTACATGTGATTATTAAAATGGAGACTAAAAGCAGTGTCCTGGATTTTAAGGCATACTCTGGTAATCAGCTTCTTCAGACATCTCTGAAGACAAAAATAAACCCTGATCTTTTAACACCTTTATCATTCTGGTTCAGGGTTTTCAGGGCCTAGGACAAGTTGTTGAAACATACTAGTACATTTTGAGGAGGAATTAGTGAGAACCTTTTTCTGATTCTCATGCCTATTTTGCAGTCCAAGTCTATCCAAAAAATCCTTCTATCTCCTGGATTGAATTTGCAAGAAACTTCTTAATTCTTATCCTGTTTTACAAGTCTATAAGTCCTCTGGCTAGCTTCTGTGCTTGCCTGCCCTCGATAACACTGTACTATATTCAAGCCATCATACTTTTCCATATTCTCTTACACCTTCGCTAGCACACTTGGAGACTGACCAAACCAGCTAGAAACAATAAGGGTGCCAGTTCTGAAGAAGTTGACAGAGGAAAGACAAAACATTTACTTAGATAATTTCAGTGCAGTAGTGATTCTGGTGTTACTGGTTTTCTGTTTTCTAATGGCAAGTTTGTATGAGATTACCTAAAATGATAATTATTAGTGCTGTGATTTGGTATTTAATGCTGCCTTGACTTCCACTCAACACGTAACTTGTTGAGTTCCACTCAACACTTAACTTTCTCAGTAACTGCTTTGTTTGTGTTTTGTCTTATAGTGTTTATTTGTGAAAGTGTTTAAGAAGTTTAACTCTGACATCCGTTTTAATAACTAAAATTAGCATCTTTTAGATTAGAATTGTATTCTGAAAATGTATGGTTGAGAAGGTGTGTAATTAATAAATGACAGTTTTTCCCCTGAGGAGAAAATCAGAAACATCTCCATAAAATATGGAATGTTTCCTGTGTTTTCCAAGATCTCTAATGTTTGCACTTTTTTCTAGTGTTTTTATAACCAAAATACATGTAGACTGTACAAGTACTATGTCTTTTGAGACTGCTGTGGTATGGCTCAGCAACAGCTAATTCTGCTTTTCATTCCAGATTCAGATTTCAGTCCAGATTCTTAATTTTTTCAGGTATTAAAAACATATTTTGAAATTTAGCACTTCGAGAGGTACTACTGTTAGTGATTCTGTTATAAACTGTCTCTGCAGAGAAATCTTTTTGCTTTGTTGCAAATGTAGATGGGATTATAAACTATGCATCTGGATAAAATCATCGTGAAAACAATAGAGAAGGTGGCAGATGCATATTTAAGCATGTGTGCAGCCATTTTTACATGCAGAAGTAACGCAGATGTTGCCAACAGATAACAGAGAAATAAAGCAAGTTGTCAAAGAAAATTATCTTTTGTAGATAGATTCCTCTTCCTGGTGTGTTAACATAACAAGTGACATGTGTCCTCAAGTAGGAATCACAGTAATAAAGAAATTTCAACGTGAGTGATGCAGCAAGGATTAACTGAAATAATAAATAAGGTACCAGAGCATGTTGCAAATACGTAGCCAAAGTAAAAAGGTAGGTGAGAAATTATATATGTTAATGAAAAAGAACCATCATTTTCTTACTATTCACTTACTTGCTCTTGGTCATACTGACCTCACTGTATATGTCCACCCAGTGTCAACCCATCACAGATTACTTCAGTACAGAAAGCCTTGGTTATCTTCTTCATAATCCACCACCTGTCAAGAACTAAGGAAATATAGTGATATAATGCATATGTGTATTATATAAATTCACTTTAAGGGGTGCATATGTGGAAAAATATATCCTACCTCCCTGCCACTGGCTGGGTTGTTAGGGGCCAAGTCTCTTCTCAGTCTTGTCCTACAGGTCTTTCTGCAGGAACCTCTACAGGTGGGAGGGGGAAGAGCATCCTATAGGCAGAATGTGACAACTTTTTCTAGAGTTGGTTGGGATGAGGTTACTGTAGTCCTTCTAGCTTCTCAGACAAATTCTAATGAAAAAAAAGTCCTTTAAACTGAGAAAGGAGAAGTCCTGAAAAGACAGAGCTCAGGCTCTTTTGATACTGTAACCATGTTTTTGTGATGGTACCATTGATGATGACATGGACTTAGGATGCTCTATCTACTAGACTGAAAACATAGGAGTAATGCACATGATATCAAGAGACTCCAGTAAACTGGTGAAAGACAATCTCTTCTGAGGACTCAGAGATCATAACAAATATTTTAATAAAGATGTGTTTTACAGTTGTCTAATAAAATATGCCCAATGACCATCACAAGGTAAGCTTTCTTACATTTTAAAGCATCTATATCAGGCAACTTGCATTGTAATATAGGAAAAAAGCTCCTAGAATATTTTTTAAAGAGCTCACTTCTCTTGTTTTCCGGACAAGTAGCTGCTACTACTTTCCAAGTAAAGATGTATAGTAAATAGTTCCTCTGAATACAGAAGAGTATATTCTGCCAACTGTTGTTAATTCTTCATGACACACATACCACAAATGAAAATGTCAGTAAGTTGTGATGGCTACCTACTAATAAGAAGCCCCCAACCAGTATCCTAAAGATATTAATTCTAAAGATTATTAATTGATAAAAAAACCCAACCTCATTAAAATACTCCCTGACATATATAAACAGAAGCTAAAATGCATGTAGCAGCAACAATGTCCTTCTTATATACTTGGAAAGTTACATGTGTAGAAGAGATGTGATATAATACTGTCATTCAGGAATTTATGACGAGAGTTATAATGATTTTTGAAATCCGAAGCAAATTGTTCTTTCTCTCCTCCCCTCACCTTCCCAAAATTGCCAAGATAGTAATTGAAATTGAGTCGATGAGTCCTTAATATTTTTTCTTATAAACATTTTATATATTTTTAAGTGAACAGAGATCTATAGAAAAATCTTATTTGCAGTCTTAAGTTATGCTAGCTAGCTGCTCTGAAAAAGCAATTTAGCAAATCAAATGCTTTTAAAATGTTGATCTGTGTTTGCATAATGGATAAATTTTTAATAACCTTTAAAGCACTCTTGCAAATATATATATTTTTTAACCTAAATGACATTCAGATATTAACTAAAAAGAACTACTGCCCAGATCCGTACAAGGGCCCAATGCTGAAGTTGCTGTGTGACTTCTGTAGTACCATGTAATAAAAACTAACCTGAATTTTACAGTGGCATAATTTTTTTCTGTGAATTTTTTAGTAGACTAAGAACTGAGGAAACAACTCTGTTTGGAAATGATCTTTGTATTACAATGTTTTGTTAATGGAGAACTTTTCACAGAGATTTCCTCTTCTTGTTTGGTAGTTAAGACTTTTTTTCTATGACAGCTATAGTCACCAGTTTGAAAATATTAAAACTGTTAAAGAAAATTTGAGAAGCGCAACACCCATGCATTCATATGCTGATTATTTGCATAGATTTTGTGTTCCTAATAGAAGTTATACTTTTATTTCTCTTTTGCTGTGCACTTACCTTTGCTCATATTTTCTGATTTCATATTGCTAGCTTCTACTCTTCACATTGTTAGGACTCCTAATTTAGGATATGCCTGAACAATGTATATGCGCATGCCCTCTGCAAGTGTGTGGTAAGTCAGATGTGATGGTTTCTAGATACAGAAACTCAGATAATCTCAGCTCCCTAGCCATGTGGTGTGATGACTGGAGCCAGAGAGCACATGAAGTAAGATCCAAAATCAGTGGAATTTCTTGAAGACCTCTCTGCACAGTGAGGCACAGCATCCGATTTGTTGAGCATTTGCTGATCATCTGCATAGCATATGCACAGTAAGTGAAACGAATCCAGTGGAGGGCTGTGTTTTAATAGTAAGCTGTCATATCACTGCCTGTAAGCTTTACCTTGCAGCAACACCTGGAGAGAATCCAGTGGATAAAGTCTCCCTACTGATTCTGACTCCAGTGAGGCTACTGAATAGAGAAAAACAGTATTTGACTGTCAGTTTCTTCTTCTGTCTCCACTGCCCAAGAGCAGATTTCAGATGCTGTGTTAGCACATAGCTAATGAAAACTCCACGCCAAAAAGGCATGTTTTATTTTAAAATACAGTGAAGTAAATCTTACGGTAATTGCAGTATCATGAAGTGAATTTTAAATCCTGCATTAAAGGAGTAGAAATGACTCAGCTCCAGGAAAAGCAGAGTGCAACTCTCAAGTTGATGTATACTCCCCATGATTTTCATACTTTTCAAAAATTCTGCTTAGAAAA